GCGTCCGAGACGTTATTACGAGGACATTATCAGGATTCTCGGCGTGTCGCATGATCGCACCTATTATAACTCAGCGAGTGGCCTTTGTTTGTAAAAGAGGCCGCACAACGCAAGCGTCGGCACTAACATTTTTTCCCGATACCAATAACCCAATAATATCTAGTATCGTCTTGGTAATTTTTACCATATCCACATGTCCAACGAAAATGAACGTGACGGGGCAGGAAAAAAATAAAAGCAAAATACCAATAAACGATAATTGCAGTGGGTGCACACCGCAGGAAACAATGTCGATTTAAACTTGGCCAGAGCGGAAACAACGAAAAAGAGGACAGAAAAAAAGGAGGGAGGGGGGAAAACGTCGCTTTTTTGGGCGAAAGTTACAACCGTCACTGGATCAATTAGACTTTATTGCTCGACATTCGCGTCTTTCGATCGAGCTCCGCGAATTCCCCCTTCGCATGTTGTCCCCTTTGGGATCTGCCGCGCGAGAGAGGATAGCGCCCAACAACAACGACGGAGCTACAGCGCCGTAAATTCCCCGGAAATCCAAGCCGGTTAACGAGGCAGCGATAGACCCGCGCTCGGGTACACGCGAGCGATACATAAGATATACAGGGGGGGGCGAAGCTCCGTTGACACGCGATTTTTCAATTGATCGCAATTAATCGGCCACCGTGGCGTGAGTTTACACGCAGAGAGAGAGAGAGAGAGAGAAGGTCATATCTCCCGGTTTGTCGGTTTGAGCGAACGCCACGCGCACGTGAGCACGTATTTTATCGACTGTTCGGCACCGATGGTCCGTAACAACGACGTATTTGAAGAGCATTAAATTCAGTGTGTGTATCGCTTACGGTGCTTCGACTCGTATCGGCGCCGATCGATATCTCCGTGTATATGAGAAATCTTATCCGCGGTGCAGTTGGTCACCTACAATGTTCACGAATTGGCAATTGGATCCATCACTCGAAGTAGCGATTGGAATTTCCATTTTTCTCCTCCCCCTCGATCGCAAAGATATGATTGAAGCGATGGGTGGCAGTGGCAAAGAGTAAAAAATAGAAATTAATTTCACGGTATCGACCTTTTTTCTTTTTTATTCGCTTTTTTCGTATACGATTCAATAGCAACGCGGCCCATATAGATTCGAGATAGCCGTGACGTGTGTAACGCGGCTGTGAAAAAGAGCGGAAGGTAAAACTTTGGCAGGGCGCTGCGCACGTATGTTGCCCATGGAATGGGGTTGGAGGGGGAGGAAGAGCGTGTATACGCTCGTGTCAGAATCGACAGATCCGTCGCAGTAACAGGCGGTACTTACGCTTTATGCGTGCACTCGCGAGAGCAAGGGGGGAAAGGAAAATATGCGCGCTAGAGCGTACACACATTTTTCCCTCTCTCTGTTCCCTCGTTGGTGAGGGAGGAAGGAAAAAAGGGCTCGGACGTCCAAAGCGGAGACGATGGATTTTTATTGGCACTTGGCAGCATATACACGCGCGCGATCCGACACACGTCGTAGCTGTTTGACTGCCCGGGGGGTGATTCCCGCCCCGGGTCGTATAAGCAAGGGCTCGAGACTTTTTTGACGCCACTGTACTCCTCCGCCCCCCCGTCCGAAGGAATGAGCTCTTGATACCGACACCTTTCTCGAGCCATCGGCACGTAAATTAACAATTTGCCGTGAATTACGGGAGCCGGCTGTATATATTTTCCCCTTCATTGTATTTCCGTACGAAAAAACGTGACTCAGGGACGACGAAAAAGTGCTGGTGTCGATAATAGCGAAAGTTTAGGCGAAGAAGCTGCATTATGCAGCCATTGCCATGATGTTCGTCGAATAATGCCGGGAAGGTGGTGGGGTTGGCGGGTCACGTGAGCCATTCAATAGCCAAAAGTAATTCCAACTTGGCGCGGGTACGGTACACACAGACTGCCTGTTGAATTCGGCAGTATGAGTTGGACGGCGGGTCTTGGTTGGAATTAATCTTGCAACCGATGGACAGGGCGGTGGGGCTGTCTTACTCGTTTTTCGACCATCTCGATTAAAGGTGTTTATGAATTTTCGAGCGGCTTGCCGAAAGTCGTTAAACTCCATTGGAATGTCCTCTTTTAAAGGGACGGGTTGAAACTTTACTATTTTACGCGCGTTTCGAAATGTACATTAAAAGTACGCTCCAAGTCCAACAGTGGGAAATATATTATACATCCGATAAAGTAAAAATACAACTTTTCTCGCTTTTAAAAGATTTCAAATCGTTTCAACTTTTAAAAGAATAGTTAAACGAACGCTGAAAATTTAAAATTTTAATTTTGTGTTGGTTCATATACTTATTTCCGTTTCGATGGCATAATTTTATTTTGAACAGAAAAACCCTGAAATTGATGATGACTGCCCAACTTCTCTAATTTTCAGAAACTGGGTTATAGACAGAGCATTGTGCCCACTTATATAGGAGCTCACTCACCCAATTAGGCATAGAATTATGAAATCTCGGGTTCCATTCGATACCAAATGGCATTATCCTTATTTAATGAAACTTTCCGTCACGATGTCGTTCAGATACGTAAAGTGTGAACAATTGAGGATATCTTGCAGCATCACCAAACCCTCATAATCTCATCGTGGTGTCCGATATTATTTTTAATTCCAACCCAACTCTTTACAAAAAGCTTTAATTAATCATCTTATTTTATGACGAGACGGAAATTTTACCTCAAGTTGAGAGAACCTTTAAATTTAAAAATATTCGACACGTCTAACTGCCCTCCAATAAAAGTATATGCGCAGCATCATACTTGCAAAAAGGTAATTAATTCTTCCATTTGTAGTATCGCTGAAGCTCTGACAGCCTATTTTATTCAGATTTGCATAGCGACGAGCGAGGTGCGCGATGATGAAATGGCGCTTTCGTTTATTCATTAGTTTGTACCATGTTCTTTGACTATTCTCTTAACACAAACAATATCAAATGCACGAACGTGCGAAAGTAAAGGTCCAAAGTGATAGTAGATTAAATAAGAAATTCCGCGCTCTCCCGCGAGACCGTACGTAAATTAACGCGTGACAGTTGTGAAAGTTATCTTTTCTACCACTGCGGTTTGAACAATTTATTATGCTCGCTTAAGATTTATCTTTGCCCTGTTCTATTTTAACGTTTTACTTCCAACGCGGTCCGGTACTGTCAGCGGTCCTAAATAGTTTATGTTTAGCTAAAATGTATATGTAATTAAAAATTCAAAACGTTATAAGGTATATCATAGCGCGAGAGCTACTTTACCTCATGAATTTTAAAATATTCATTGCGCAAAAAAGTTGTCGTTAGTTTTAACTTACCGATCTTATCCCTCGTTAAAGCAGCGTGAGAAAAAAACGTCTCATTTTTAAGGTCACATGTATTATATACATGTTGGGCAACGAGTGCTTTTATAGACCCATTTTATCGTGTTCTCTTCAATCTCGTTAATTAACGGCACTAAAAAAGTCAAGTTTTGTCGCACTTTTTAATTCGAAAATTCATTACGCTTCAGTAGATTGTTGTTTTTCGAGGGACGATATTATTTCATAATACCCTTGTTTGTTAACGAAACACAGGAGGAATTTTCACTTTGATGTTTCAATATGATTTAAAAATGACCTGGTATTCGTACAAGAATGCATGTTTATATTAAAATATTAATTAAAAGCTCATTAAGGTGCTTTTAAATAAATATAAGGTCCTACGTAATCCAATAATAACACGGGAACCCGACATATATAAGCTATTATTACATTTTTTCACGTTGATTATTTAAAAATGTTAGAAAAGCCGGTCGGTATTTGCTGATGAATTAACAAAATCAATGCAACTGTTGTTTTCCATAATCTGTTTGTACGAAGCGCACAGGGTGAGAAAACAAACTATTACAAAATAAATATTCACCTCGATTAAGCCAGCCCTTTACCTCGCGTTATTCCCCTGGGGAGGGATTAGTGTGGAAATCCCGTGAAATTTGTGGCTCATTAAGCGAGGCTTTTCCGATATGCAAAATAAGCATGTTGGTCTTGGGATTTTCTAATCCGTTGAAAACGTTAGTTGACTGTTAAGCTGCCAAAAAATAAACACCAACGCGACACTGGGCAGACGCGCGATAAACCGTCCGCTGACCTCTGCGAGCTAAAGTCAATTTGAGGTATTTTTAAGGTGGACTAAGAAACAAATTGTACAACTTGTGCCTTTAATCCCGTGGCCATCAGCAGGTTACGATTATTAAGGATGAGTAGTATGCGCCATGCTCACGTTCCCTGTTTTTGTTTTTTATTTTTAATCCGATGCTGTTAGATTTTACGTTCACCGCAATCGGTCAGTAATTCATCAAGCTTTATCAGTGCAAAATCATTTGTTATTCCTCGTCCAGATCCCACCGTAGGCCGCATAATAACCTGAACCACTTAATGGCTCAGCAGCTAATTCCATACTAAAAATTATTACATTTTTTTAAAAACTGCGAGACTTGATTTTTTGTTTCTTTTTACGGCTAAACAGCCCCTGATGATCCATTGTGAATCAATTACTTGCTTCTGAATGATCAGACCGAGATTTAAATGAGCTTTATTGCGTGGGTATTGATCAAAGTCCGTCCCCTTCAGGCCGAACAAAGAGTATCAAAGTGTTTCCTATCCGAAACCGTATTACGGGCTCTCAAAAGTTTTAGATGAAGAAAAAAGTGAGTAAAAAGAGCTCCTTTGTTCGAAGTATCGAAGATCGGTGTACGAGCGCACACATCATCCCCGGCTTTTATTACTTCAAGCCTGACATTCCGAAATATCGGGATTCGCGGGGGCAACACGGTAGTTTATTGCAAAGTGGGTCGATCAAACAGAGAATCGGAAAGAAAAAAAAAAGGGGGGGGGTTGGATTGATGAACAGCGGCGACGACGACGATGCCGATACACGTGTAAATATTTGATCAGCGCTTGGGTGGTACATCGTTCACACGTACGCTATCCTCCGTTAGTGGGGCAGGAGATAAAAACCATGGTAGCGGCGGCTCGATCGAGGCACGGGTCCGCCGTGAGTCGGCCATGAGGTCCGTCCCGGGGTTGACGTCGCCGCTGCTACCGCTGCTGCTGCTGGCTTTGCTGGGACCGGCCGGGGCCCCGGGTGCTAGGCACCGGCGGCGGCGGCCCGAGAACCCCGAGAGCCACCATCCGATCCGCCACGGTGACTGGCAGGGTTTCCTGGCGAGCTCCCGTCGGCAGGCCCACGGGGGCTCCGGCCAGTTGCAGCTCCCGGGGTCGCCCACCTGGCCCGTCAAGCTCGAAGCATTGGTCGAGGGCGAGCTCGTCCTGGGTGGCCTGATGATGGTGCACGAGCGCGAGGACTCGGTTACGTGTGGGCCCGTCATGCCCCAGGGGGGCATACAGGCCCTCGAGGCGATGCTGTACAGCCTTGACAAGCTCAACGCGATGCAACTCGTGCCGGGCGTCAAGATTGGAGCTCACATACTCGACGACTGTGACAAGGACACCTACGGCCTCGAGATGGCAGTGGACTTCATCAAGGGTGAGTATTCGGGCTACTGGTGTTTGACAACATTATTTTTGACACAATACGTAATAATCCTGGCAGTTTTTATAAAAATTTGTTTATGTTTTTGTTCATCGTACACGTACTACGTGATACAGATTAGAAAATTTTAATACTTGGCAAAAATGTGAAACCAGTAGTACAAACTCGATATGGTCAGACAATTATACTTGATGCCCCCTTGTTACTTTACAACGATTATTAGGTGCGTTTTTTATTTTCAGTGAATTCATATGATACGCTTAACAGTTAACATTCACAAAACTGTGTGATACAATTTTTAGAAATTTTGACCCGTATTCAACAAAAAAAGCAAAATCAGTAGTACAGAGCTAGTTTGGTCAGACAATGTAATTTTGTAATTTTGTAAAGGTTATTTGGCCATATTAATTTTATTACATGCATAATTTTTTGCCACCTCGTCTGGAATTTGTACTCTTGCTTTTGTAGGAATTACAATCATACCATTATATCGTATGCATCGATAAAATAACTTTTTAAACAGTAAAAATTTTATTTAGTTTATTCAACTTATTTAATGTGTAAGTTGTACTCTTCTAATAAGTTTGACATTTTTTATTAATCCAAATCAAAAGAAAAGTGCAAAGCTTTAAAACTACCGCGTGAAGTAAAAGTTGGAAAAGTGTTTCCTTATTAACAGAGTTAGTGCTAAAGTTCAAGTCCACAGTGCAATAATTCATACGGTCTATGTTTATTCTTAAACTTTTCATCGAGAAATTAAAATGATACCAAAGAATCAAGTAAAAAGTAAAAATTTTCAAAGATATTTCACGTACACGTGCTATACAGGCACGCATTCACAGTCGTGAGGACAGAGAAAAATTATGACGGAGTAAAAAAAAAGGTAGAGAGGCACACTTGATGAAAAAGACAGAGGAAAAGAAAAGAGTCCTTCATGCGGACGCGGCAACAAAAGCCTGAAATTTTTTATTACTCGAGATTTCGTATACTTTATCGCCATCCATTTTTACTAAGCGCACAAATTCACATGAACCGCAGAGAGCTCGTTCTGCACTGCCGCTGCGATGTGTCGCGACAGCCCATTCACGCTGGGCGTGAGTAACTAATATCTCACCTGAACCAAGGCACAAAGAAGCGCTCGCGAAATAGAAATAGCTGACGCGGCAGGCAAATCGGAGCGGGTTTTCATTAAAATGAGTCCTTCTTTTTCTTCGTGCCCCCCCCCCCTGTTTTTTCCTTCTCACCTTCACCCTCCACATCTCTTATCCGTTGTGTTTTTGCTGTTCGCTTTGTACAGATTTATGAAAAATTTCAAAACGTTTTTTACTACTGTGGCCTTGTCACCCGTTGTTGTCTACCAAGACACGTTGTATCATTTTTTCGCTTTCTTAATTTTTCAAGTCAAATAAAAGGGCCTCACATTTTTTAAGAGAGTCTTAAATTACGCGATAGTTGATCGAACTGCTGAGCAGGATTTGACAGTGAACAGTTCATGAAATAAAATAGAAATATGTTATAAGAAAAAAATAAAACGATTTGCAGTGTTTTATACATGTACTCTTAGTAATCATAAAAAATGAAAAAGTTTTCAAAGCTTTTTTCAAATTAAAAAGTTTTTTTGTATATTCCAAAGCTTTCTATTTTCAGCAATTTTTTGTGTTATTGAACATGTGTTTACGAATATTGCAAATTTTATAATAAATAAACTTATTCCTGTACTAAAGCTTAAAAATTATAAGATTAAACATTTTGTGAGTTGGATGTCATCTAATTACCGTGAATGCCTTCGTTCGATGTATATGTACGTTATTCCCATCCACTCCAATAAACAAAAATGTTTCCCAAGAATTCTTGTCGATCAGTTCAAGGAATAAATGAAAATTTTTTTTTTGATTCCAAGTGTAATTCATTGTTCTAAGTTTTGTCATCCATTTTTTATATTCTCAATATTTTTTTGTACAAGAGAAGTTTTATATTCACAACTTGATTATGATTTTATTAAATACCCATAAATTCAATATTTAAAAATAATAATAATTTCATTACAGTTGATACAACTCTTAAATCTTACCGCACTCCCTGGTTTTTATAAACAAAGAGCATCAGTACCATAATACCCAAATATACGAGGAAAAAATTCCAACTGTGAATCAGATGCGTAATCCCTTGTCCGAAATCGCTGTCACACGAGGTGTAAGAACTCAGAGGAGAAAAGTCACCCGGTAGCTCAACTTTCTCCGACTCGCCGACCAAGTACGCGCTTCTTTGGCAGCTGGATGAATATCTCCGGTAGGCCTCCTCGTCGCATGGCTTCCGAACGTGTGGGTAAGAACGACACCAAACAAACGGGCACATGGCGCGACTCGGATTTTCTCATCTCCGAATGTATTCGGCATTTGAAGTTCAGGCGCAGTCGAGCGAGTTTGACCCAATAAGAGGATATATTATCCTCTCTCTCTGTAATACCAGACTCGCATTTCGCGTACATTACGTATATCGTAATCTTATAACGCTCGAGTGTACTATCTTATTCTCTGCCTCTCGCGAGACTTGCTTGGAATACTACACGTAAACTGCTTAAGAACTTATGCATAAGCGCCAACTTCGTTAGCTTGTTGTTATCATCAGTTTATGCAGCTTCGATGAGATGATGCAGCAAATGTTGGCTGATGTTGAGTGGAACTGAAAAAAAAGAGAAAATATAGAAAATCAATATTTTTCCGTAAACACGTTTTCCCCTTTCCCGCGTAACTATGAGCCCAGAGTTAATAAAAATATTTTTCCTCGGCAAGCAATACGTAGACAGCGCTTAAAACGTTGAAATTAAAAATATCGACCCAGTCGGTAGCTGCGAACGAATAAAAATAAAACAAATTGAGTAAAGATCCCATGTCACGTAATAATGTAATAATCTTAGACCAACAATTCAGAAATCTTCCTCGTTGTATTTTTCGTTTTTATCAGTTCATCGACAAACTTTCAGCTCCGTGATTGACGTGTTTAAAATTGCAGGATTAAAAACAAAAAACAAAAAAAAATCAATCTTTCCATCAGTGCTGAAATACTGACTGGAAATTCAAAACCAATACACACTACTTCCAATCGATTCACTTCATATCAATTGCGTAAGAAAAACCTTTTTCATCAAATCCTCATGAAACGCGGAGCTCGTATGGTTTTCAAAAACCACTCGAGAGTCCGCTCTCTCGGTGCTGAGTTAATTAATGGTAGCAAAAAAAAAAAAGCTCCAAAAAAAAAAGAAAATTGAAAACATCATCGGCAAACGAAAACAACCAATTAAAATGATTAAAAATACGCAGGTGCGATGCCGTTGATTCGATTTGCAACCGCAAGCGTACAGTGTCAGTACCATCGATGGCCAGCCCACACGCAGCTCGAGTTTGAAATTCGATCAATTCGCCGGACCAGGTGCATCCGACGCTCGAAAATTGCCCCAATGACGAGTCCCTGCACCTTGTCACTCGAATAACACTCGCCGATTTCTTCCCTCCCCCCCTTCCCTTCTCTCCGCGGTTGTTTGCATATACCGATTTCTCGTTCGAGTTTCGAAGGGAGGGATAAGGCGCGCTTTGATCAGCGACTGATGGGCCCGCCATGAAAATTCAAGTACTTAGTTGTCGGCCGGCCAAACGGCTCCGCTGAATGTTTAAGAGCCCGGTCGCGTAATGCGGCTCTCCCCCGAACTTTTCGAGTTCGAGCAAGTTCGAGGGGCTTCGACTCGCCGTGTGGCCGGCAATTCCGGGAAACAGGTGTCGACGGGTCTTGGGACGCGGTATGAAATATCGCCGATTCAATGAAAACGTCCTCGATCATTTTTGTGGAGCATCGGGATTGGCAATATTGGGTCGCGTGCGGATGTCTAGCGCGGATGGACGGAAATGGAAATCTTTGGTGAAATACTTTTTGGCCGAGGCACCCGCGTGAATGCCATCTATACATGTATCGGCACGTCACGAGCTGACCGAACGTGATGTGGATACCACGCGGGACTCGGAAATAGCTTTTTATCAATAAAAAAGTTACAAAAAAAAAAACAGACGGTATGAATACTTCTCGTACTTCGAACCACATGTGATAGGCTTTTTTTTCATGACCTAGTTGTGTACGAAATTTCCAGTGTTGCGATCAATGGAAAAAAATTTTTGTGTCTTTTACATAAGGTGTCACTGAACCGATGTGGAAACAATTAATGATTAAAAATTTCATGCGTTTGATGGTTTTTTTCAAGAGGAACTCACAGTTTTTTGATTGACACGTACGTACGTGCACCATATGTGTAAAAGATGCCCTTTGTTATGACTTAGTTGTGCCTATATTTACCAGAATCGCTATTGCTTTATGTGTAATTATACATTGCATACTCTTGCAATGAATTACCAGGTAACTACAAACTATTGACTCGTACGCGAAAGCGAATCTATACAATTATACCGATTTATGTGAATGGATTTCGATCATTTTGGGAAAAATAAAATTTTATTGCATCATAAATTGCGTAAGAAAAAGTCCGTGTGAACTACGAATAAGTAGGTATGCCAAATTAGTCGCAGGCTTTTCTCATTTCCAATTTCACCGTTCGAGAAGCAAAATCAAAACTTTAATCGGTATCGTGAATTACATGGTTGATTGGCATGTTTTATTTTATTCGTCGGTATTTAGCTGAACCGATCGTCAACCGTAGCACGAAAATCCCTATCGACGAGAGTAAGTTTTTCGTTCCAGATACCCGAGGCCCTGAAATCCAGAGATTGTGGGTAAAAAACAAGGCTCCCGTTCATACGCTGTATTGCATACAGCACAGATTTATTGCAACCACTAATGCAGTTGTAGCAGCATTGTGCACGTATATACAATGCTCGGCATTTTTCATTGTCGATGCTTTTTCCACTTAGTTTATTCATTTCGCAATTTTATTGGGCAGTAGATATTTCATCACAAGATACATTTTTAACTATTTGCATTTGCCGCATTTG